GTGGTGGTGGTGGTGGTAGTGGTAGTGGTAGTGGTAGTGGTAGTGGTAGTGGTAGTGGTAGTGGTAGTGGTAGTGGTAGTGGTAGTGGTAGTGGTAGTGGTAGTGGTAGTGGTAGTGGTAGTGGTAGGGGTAGGGGTAGGGATAGGGGTAGTGGTAGTGGTAGTGGTAGTGGTAGTGGTAGTGGTAGTGGTAGTGGTAGTGGTAGTGGTAGTGGTAGTGGTAGTGGTAGTGGTAGTGGTACTAGTAGTGGTACTAGTAGTAGTAGTAGTAGTAGTAGTAGTAGTAGTAGTAGTAGTAGTGGTAGTAGTAGTAGCAAGTGTTGTAGTGCTGGTGCTGATGGATATACAAGATCGAGATTTGCCTCATCATTTTGTTATTACAGCTAACTGTATTTGTATCTCATCAACAACAGGGGTCTTAGGCATCGTCATGGAACCGGTGATGGTGAACGGTGAATCGATGGAGTTTGCGGTGGTGGCATCAGCCGTGCTATCCCTAATCCCCCAAGGCCCTCAACTCCACAAACCTGAAAACCCCTGACCTTAAACTTAATTCCATAGCCAGCCCTTGAAGCCCTGCACTCTCAACACACCCTAAACCCTAAACCCTAAAACCCTAAAATAAACCCTAAAACCCTAAAACGCTAGACCCTAAACCCTAAACCCTACACCTGACCTCTGAAGCTCCAAGCCAAAAACTTCTAGACTGATGAGACCTGTCAACCCGAAGCCCTAAAAGCCCTATAAGCCCTACATCTTGGAGGTTTAGGCTTAAGGGACTCTGGAAGCAAACCCTAAACCATAACCTCTCCAAGTCTACACCGAAAGCACTTAAACCCTAAACCCCTAAATCCCTAAACCCTAAATTTGAGAGGCTACGCCTCAGTGCGCCAGCGTATCCTGTGTGCCCACATGGTGCGTGCGCGCATCGTGCGTGCGCGCATGGTGTGTGCCGGGGCGGATGTTTCGGGCTGTTGTGGGGAGAGTTTCGGGCTTTCGTGGGGAAGCTTTCGGACGTTCGTGCACCGTGCGTGCGCGCATCGTGCGTGCGCGCATCGTGGGAGCGCGCATCGTGGCTGCGCGCATCTCGGCTATACATGCACATCGTGGCTATACGCGCATCGTGCATGCGCGCATCCAGGTTACATGGAAGTATCGGGCGTTCGTGAAAAGGTTTCGGGCTTTCGTGGGGAAGTTATCGAGCTTTCGTGGGAATAAGGGCTTTTCGTCGGGAAGGGCTTCGGGTTTTCGTGGGAGGGTTTCGGGCTTTCGTCGTGAGGGCATGCAGAGTGGGTGCACGCATCATGGGGCTCGATTTCCGCTTAAGCATCAGCCCCCCCCCTTTAGAACAGGTGGACTCAAACCCGTGGCCAGGGCGCTAAACTGTGCTGGCGAACCCTAAACCCTAAACCCTAACACCCTAAACCCTAAAACCCTAAAACCCTAAACGCTAAAACACTAAACCCTAAAACCCTAAACCCTAAAACCCTAACCTAAACCCTAAACCCTAAAACCCCACAAACCCTAACCCCTAAACCCCAAGATGTCAGCGAGCGGCTCTGCTCTCAGATGGAGCTGCCGCGCTGCCCGGATGCCCGAACCAACGGCCTGGCTTCCCAGAGAACCCA